TTTTTTTTTCTTAAATTCCACATTCGAGTGAAATCATATGATATTTGTTTTTCTCTGACTTACTTCACTTAGCATAATACATTCTACTACCACCCACATCATCGCAAATGGCAAGATTTCATTCTTTTTGATCACTGAGTAATATTACTGATATTTGATCACGTAGAATATATATACATATATATATACATATATATATATATTCTACCACCTCCTCTTCATCCCTTCATCAGTTGATGGACATCTTCAGTTGGGGTCTCTCCATAGTCTGGCTGTTGTTGATAGTGCTGCTGTAAACGTTGGTGCATGTGCCCTTTGAATCAGCATTTTTGTATCCTTTGGATAAATACATAGTAGTGCAATTGTGGGGTTGCAGGGTAGTTGTATTTTTAATTAAAAAAAATAATGTTTATTTATTTTTTGAGAGAGATAGAGACAGAGCATGAGAGGTGCAGGAGTGGAGAGAGAGAGAAGGGGACACAGAATCTGAATCAGGCTCCAGGCCCAGCTGTTAGTAAAGAGTCCAATGTGGGGCTCAAACTCAGAAACCACAAGATTATGACCCGAGCCAAAGTCTGACGCTTAACCAACTGAGCTATCCAAGTGCCCCTATTTTTAATTTTTTGAGGAACCTCCATACTGTTTTCCAGAGTGGCTGCACCAGTTTGCATTCCCACCAACAGTGCAAAAGAGTTCCCCTTTCTCTGCATCCCCACCAACATCTGTTGTTTCCTGAGTTGTTAATTTTAGCCATTCTGACAGGTGTGAGGTGGTGTCTCATCATGATTTTGATTTGTATTTCCCTGATGATGTGTGTGTGTGATGTCGAGCATCTTTTCATGTGTCTGCCATCTGGAAGCCTTCTTTGGAAAAATGTCTATTCATGGCTTCTGCCCATTTCTTCACTGGATTATTTGTTTTTTGGGTGTTGACTTTGGTAAGTTCTTTATAGATTTTGGATACTAACCCTTTATCAGATATGTCATTTGAAAATATCTTCTCCCACTCCATCAGATGCCTTTTAAATTTGCTGATTGTTTCCTTCACTGTGCAGAAGCTTTTCATCTTGGTGAGGTCCCAATGGTTCATTTTTTATTTTGTTTCTCTTGCCTCTGGAGACATGCTGAATAAGAAATTGCTGTGGCCAAGGTCAAAGAGGTTGTTGCCTGTTTTCTCCTCTAGGATTTTGATGGTTTCCTGTCTTAAATTGAGGTCTTTCATCCATTTTGAGTTGATTTTTGTGTATGGTGTAAGAAAGTGGTCCAGTTTCATTCTTGTGTATGTCTCTCTCCAGTTTTCCCAACACCATTTGCTGAAGAGACTTTTTTTTCCACTGGATATTCTTTCTTGCTGTCAAAGATTAGTTGGCCATATGTTTGTGGGTCTGTGTCTGTTCTGTTCCATTGATCTGAGTGTCTGTTTTTGTGCTGCTACCATAGTGTCTTGATGATTACAGCTTTGTAAAAGCTTGAAGGCTGGGATTGTGATGGGTTCTTTGTTTCTTCTTCAGTTTCTTTCATAAGTATTATATAGCTTTCAGCATATATATCATTTATCTCTTTAGGTAGGTTTATTCCTAGGTATCGTAAGGGGTTTTTTTTGGTGCAATTGTAAATGGGACTGGTTCCTTGATTTCTCTTTCTGCTGCTTCATTATTGATATATACAAATGCAACAGATCTATTCAGAGAATGTGGTCTAGTAATTTCAACAATTTGGAATTTAAGAAAGTGTCCTTCAGACTTAACATTTGGTCAATGCTTCACAGGAACTTGAAAGATTATTTCTTTTCTCTTAGGATACAATTTAATGTGCTCATTAGCTTTATTTTATTGTTGATAGTATTTGTATCCTTAGCCTTTTCGTTTACTTGATTTGTCTTGCATTGAGAAGAGTCCCCACACCCCAGATAAAGGGTTAAGGATAAATACCCTTCTATGACAGATTTGTCTATTTTTGTACATGTCTTCTGGAGGTTTTACTTTATTAGTTTTGATTCTATGTTATTTTGTGTGAAATATTTATGTCAACGATTTTGGGGATTTGGGATTTTATTTTTGTATTATGTCATAAATTCAACCTATGCATGTATTGATAGCCCAATCACTGCTTACTTTATTATTGTTGGCATTTGTTTCATTGTCTTTATAATTTCACTTTTACCTGGGGATTGTAATATAAATTTGTTTTAGATTTATGTTATGTAAGTATGGTCGACTCTCACCAACATATTGGTAAGAAATATACATTTCATACATATGTATAAATTTGACAATATGTTTTATTTGCTAAATTAATTTATCTCAGGTACGATAATGTAATAGAATTATTACGTTAGTAATATGATAGACATTACATTTTGTCTTAATTAATCATCTTAATATATATTAGATTTTTTTCTGTTTTGAATATTACCTATTTCTGCTATTTGTCATATCATCCACATGTTCTTTGGCTTTAGTTTATACATATTTTCCCTCTCATACCTTGATGGTTTATAACGGTATTTTTTATTTTCTTGTAAAAAACATTTTAATAAATTATATTTAAATTTCTATGCTTCCTCTATTATAATAGATGAAGAAAGCAGGATATATTTTTTTCTTCTGCTTATTTCTTCATGCTTTGACTTCTTGATTTTTGTATTTTTAAGTTTTCATATAGTTAAGGCTTTTAATTCTTTTCTCTTACCTTTAACTCCTGCTAATTTTTCACTTACATATTTAAATGGATTTAGTATTTCCCCATTCCTGAACTCTTCATTTTGATATATTTCTCAGCAGAATTTCATCATTCACTCCGTTTTCTAAAAGGTGTGTGTGCGTAGGCGCTACAGTTTTGGAATTTTAGCATGTTTGGAAATGTTTTTCTCTTGCTCTTTCACTTGAAGGCAAATCTTATGAAATTCAGTACTTTGAGGGTTTTGTGGACCTTTGATCACGGTCACCTACCATCCAATATTGAGGTGAAGGAATCTGAGATTAGTTCGCCCTTGTTGTATGTAACCTGGTAGTTTGCAGAAAGTCCAAAGGATACTACTCTCAGAAGACAGGAGCATTGCTAGAATACATCTCCATACTGATAATTCTGGATCAACTTTTCTTATCAAACAGCATGACTTTTAAGTCTTTTTATAATGTCATACTTTATTTCAGAAAGAAAATAAAACCTTTCTTCTAAAATCAAATTATAAGTGATTTTATCTCAGTCTATCCTATTCTTGTAGAAATGCAAGTTAGGCATACATTGTATGTATTTGTGTTTATTTTGTATCAATTAGTTTCTCTCTGATCATTTCTAGCTTTTCGTTGTCATTTCTTTTTGATTTGTTTTATCAAGCCTATGTTTTAGGCCTCTTAGTATTTTTTAATAGTGTTTCTTCTCATTTTGTTGCCTTCATTTCAATAATGATTTCTTCTCCTACACATCCCTGCAATTGGTCATGTATTTTTGCAAATTATATTGTATTTGACAGGTCTATTTTGGAATTAATGATTGTTATTTCCTTTTTTTGTTGTTATTGTCATTAGGAATGGAAATAGAGTAAGAAATATTTATTCCACCAATATGCCCATTACTTCAAAGAAAATTTACATTTATCTTTTGTCAAAATATTGAAATAAAAGATGCAAAATAAAAAAGAGCATTCCACTTCTACTGGTGATATAGTACTCTATATTAGACTAACTCTAAGAACCACAATGAAAGCTAAAAAAAAAAAAGAGAAAGGGAGAGAGAGGAAGGGAGGAAGGGAGAGAGAAAATGATGGAAACAGAGGGGAAACGATATCTCATGTTTTCTTTTTTCTTTTATTCTCTTGCTTGCAGGCTGGATTGAGCATATTCTATGAACTGGACACTCTTATTTCTTCTTCTGTGATTTGCTGGTATGTGTCTGTTGCCCATCCCCTGCCCCCCTGCCATGTACCTATAGAAAATAAAAGCTCTTCACATTCTAGATTATTAATGATTTGTCAATTAGATTGCTGCAAATAGCTTCTCTCAGTCTGTAATTGATTATTTTACACCTTCTGGTATTGTTTTGGTGACAATAAATCTCAGATTATGATTGTAGACACATACGTCAATCTTTTTTTAATGAATTTTTTTTTTGCATCTATCAAAGAAATCTCATTATACTCTTAGGTTATAATGATAATTTTCTATATTCCCCTACACGTTAAAAATAAAGTTTTACTTTTGAACTGTCTGTGGAATTAATTAATTAATTATTTTTGTATAGGATGAGAGGTAGAGATTCAGTTTTAATTTTTTTTTTGCCATGGATAACCTATTATCCTGATACTATTTACTGAATGGTACGTCCTTTTCACACTCATCAGTGATGCCACCTCTGGGAATTAAAGCTGCCATGTATTCTTGGCCCTGGTTCTGAGCTCTCACGTGTAGTCTATTGGTCTAATTGTTCATCACCACACCTAGTTCATACTGGTTTAAAAACAGTCTTCTAGTAAGACTGCTTTTGAGGATCCCAAAATGTTTATAATTCCATTCCCTTTAATAATCCATTCAGCAAATAATAAGCACTTGCTATATGCCCAGAAATAGCCCAGGTAAAAGACAGAGAATATCAATGACTAAGGTAAATTTTCCTTGAGAAGCTTACATTCCATAGAACAATCAGATAATTAACAAATAAATCTATACTATAATGTTAGACAGTGATAGATAATATATAGGAATTTAAACTAAATAAGAAGGTAAGAGAGCAAGAACAGCCTATTTTATCTTTTTAAAGTTTTTTAATGTTCATTTTATTATTTTTGAGGGAGAGAGAAACAGCATGAATGGGGGAAGGGCAGAGAGAGAGAGGGAGACACAGAATCTGAAGCAGGCTCCAGGCTTCAAGCTGTCAGCCCAGAGCCTGACATGGGGCTCGTACCCACAAACTGTGAGATCATGACCTGAGCCGAAGTTGGACACTTAACTGACTGAGCCACCTGGGTGCCCCAAGAACAGCCTATTTTAAATAGAATCAACAGAAAAAGACTCTCTTTGGACAGAATGCTCAATTTGAGAATAATGACCTGAGAAAACAAGCCATGTGATTGTCTGTAGTAAGAATATTTCGGGCACGAGGAAGCAAGGACAAAGGCCTAGAGATGGAAATGAGTATCTTTGTGAAACCGAAGTATGGCTGCTTTTGCTTGAGTGGAATATACAAGGGGGGAGAAGGAAAAATGAGGCCAGAGAGGGAAGCAGAAACCTTATTTTAGAGGGTTTTGTAGGTTATAGTAAAGAATTTGGATTATGTTAAATGTGTTTGGGAGATTTTGGAGCAAGAGACTGATAACAATCAGCTATACATGTTAATAATATTGCTCAGTATGCTGCATGGAGACCTCTTACAGGACAGCAAGGTTGGAAGTTGGGGACGTTTGGATGTTAAATATTCTAGCAACAGATGGTTTGGCTTAGACTAGGACAGTTGCAGTGGAGGTGGAGAGAATTAGACTTGCGATATATATTTAAGTGGATTATATAGGACATCTGAGAGAATGTGAAATATGTGGACTATGACTGAAAAGGAGCTTCGTTTTGTGAGCAATGGTTAGTTTAATTTCTGAGCTAAGAGAGACTAGGGGAGGAGCATGTATGGAGATACAGGAAATGAAAACATTATTTTTGGGGCCTCTTAAGTTTGAGGTATCTATTAGAAATTCAGGTGGAAACACTGAGCAGGCAGTTGAATATCTGAGTTGGAGATCAGGTGGAAGGCTGGGGCCAATGGATAAGGTCACCTAAATGTGAATTAAATTTTTTTTAACGTTTATTCATTTTTGAGAGATAGAGTGTGAGCGGGAGAGGGGCAGAGAGAGAGGGAGACACAGAATCCGAAGCAGGCTCCAGGCTCTGAGCTGTCAGCACAGAGCCCAACGCTGGGCTCGAACTCACAAACCATGAGATCATGACCCGAGCTGAAGTTGGATGCTCAACTGACTGAGCCACCCAGGAGCCCCGGGTCACCTAGATGTGAATTTAAAGAGCAGAAGATTGGACTGGAACCCTGAGTCCTTCCAATGTTCAGAGGCAGTGAAGATGAAGCACATCCAGCCAAGGAAACTAATGGATCCAATGAAGTCAGAGGCAGACCAAGAATGCAGCTGTCTGGAAGCGGAGTCAAGAAACTGCTTCAAGGAATGGGTAGTAAATCCACTGCGTCAGATGAGCTTCAAATGTGCTAATATCTTAGAGGAAGACGTGTTCCACTCTTACCGAGAGCAGAAATGAGCAGCGTGAAGGTAAGATAGAATATCTCAGGCAGGAAACCATTTAGCTGTTTTCCAAGAAAGCATTCATTTAGGAAACTCCCTGGAATATATATCAATAAGAAGTCACAAACTCCAAAGCTGGTACACATCTCGCCTGTCATTTGCTCTAAGCAAATCCATGACATAAGGAACAAACTGTTTTAACAAGAATTGGTCTCTCTTGCATTTAGAGAAAGGATTCTCTATCACTATCCTTATTGCCTAAAAAATAATATTAACATTCCTGTTTCCATCCAAGGTCGAATGACTCCTTCAACTTCTACATCTTCATGTTTAAATTTTTTTTCTTTCCATTATATATTCTCTGCCTAGCGAAAACGATTTTTTAAAAACCAGTTGTAGTTCCATAAAAGTAGTATATTTCCTTTCAGAAAGTATCTTATAATTTTGCTTTGAGAGTTTAGTAAGCTCCAAACATCATGCATGGCATGACACATAGGAAATCCAGGTTAGGTATCAACTCCTCAGCTCTGCTGTCTCTTACCTTCCAGTACCTTTCAGTACACATTCAATTATTGCTTTTCCTGTATACTTGCTGGGCTCGTAGGGAAATAAGCAAAAACTCATAAAGTCTCCCAGGCAGTGGGTAGTGGAGTTAGGAGGTCTGTCTAGCTCCAAATCTCATACTTGAATTTCAACTGCTGGAAGTGAATATTATCCACTTAATTCACATTCATTACCTACTTGATACACTCTTAGTGTTGTTCTCTAATTTGTTTCTGGACCAAGAGAACACCTCTCATTCAGAGACAAAAATCACCACTATTTTGCCCCTACCTCCTTTTAAGTGGAAAATGACCGGGAGTGTGAACTTTCTGAAGACTAGATATTTTGACAAATCCCTTTCATATAAAAAAGAACAATACTAGGAAATAAATGACAACTTCCTAGGTAAGGTCTTCTAGAAAAGTCCAGTCATTTTTCAACTTTGGGAAGTTACATAAACCTTAAAGAAACTGACTTTTATTCGAATAAGAAGGGAAACATTTCATTACACAAGGTGCCTCATTCCAGATTACAAAACCAGGAGTCAAGAAACAGGCTCATGAGTAGATTTAGCAAATTTGAAAAATAATAAAAATAAGAGTACATGATATAAATAAAGGATACCAAACCTAATCTGACCAGTGAAGATTTGTCATGTAGATTCCAAATTTACTAGAGAGAATAGGGCCGTTTCAAAAACCATTAGCCCCAGTGGTCTCATTCCGTGGGGATAATCTACACAAAAGTAACAAGTGCGGACTTGATCACTCCTCATATCCCCAGGCTCCCATGCATCGGATAACATACTGTCTCACCTAAAAGTATCTTCTAGGGGTGCCTGAGTGGCTCAGTCAGTTAAGCAGCTGATCCTTGATTTTAGCTCAGGTCATGATCTCATGGCTTGTGGGATTGGGATTGAGCCCCATGTTGGGCTCCATGATGACAGTGTGGAGCCTGCTTTAAATTCTCTCTCTCTCTCTCTCTCTCTCTCTCTCTCTCTCTCTCTCTTTGCCCCTCCTCCCTTGCTCTTGTGCACATGAGAGCTCGCTCTTTCTCTCTCAAAAATAAACAAACTTAAAAAAATGTTAAAAAGTATCTTTTAATTAATAGTTTTACTTTGATCTGAGTATAAATTATAAGGGTGCCTGGGTGGCTCAGTAGGTTGAGTGTCTGACTTCGTCTCAGGTCACAATCTCACAGTTCGAGTTTGAGCCCCCGGAGCAGGCTCCGCACGGACAGCGTGGAGCCTGCTTGGGATTCTCTCTCTGTCCTCTTTCTCTGCCCTTTCTCCTCTGGTGCTTTCTAAATAAATAAGTAAGTAAGTAAGTAAGTAAGTAAGTAAGTAATAGTCTTGTCTTTTAACCATTTCAACTTTTGACACGACTTTAAAATACACAATTCTCTTGGCAGGTTGCCAACAGTTGCATACTGCGGTGACACACACTAGTTTGAGGCGTCGGTAGTGAAAACTGCATTTATGGCATTCACCTGACAGATGATGCTATGAATTCGGGGATTCTATTTGGTGTTCGGAATCAAGGGGTAATGCCAAGGTAATGTTGCAAAAGTAAAGCAAATTTTCTGCCAGTGTATTTTTAAGGGAAAGGCTCAGTGGCTTCGGTAACTGCTCGTTTATTCAAATAACTGTTTACATCGCTGACCTTTGTTTCTTTAATTTCCATGAAGCCATCATTAAACATGGAGCAAAGACACCAACTGTTTGTAATTGGATACAGTTAGCCACATCTATGGTAAGGAGAAAAAAAAATGCTTGTGGAATTTTGCACTAAAAACCTGAAGTTCTGACTTAATCCTGAGCTCTAGTCTATATTAACAGAATGCTCCTTTTTCTCAGTAACCTGAATGTGAGATTCATGAATGGAGGTTTTCCCTGTTTTACATTTTTTTAATGTGTATTTATTTTTGAGAGAGAGAGACAGAGCGTGAGCAGGGGAGGGGCGGAGAGAGAGGGAGACACAGAATCTGAAGCAGGCTCCAGGCTCTGAGCTGTCAGCGCAGAGCCCGACGCAGGGCTCCAATCCACAAATGAGATCATGACCTGAGCCAAAGTCAGACACTCAACTGACTGAGCCACCCAGGTGCCCCAATGGAGGTTTTTCTTAATCTGTGGTTCATAAAACCTCGCCCCACATTGCCAAGCAAAAAGGAGCCATTTTTGTTGAAAGAATAAATTTGGAATCTATTTATATATGTAAAACTTGATTGATGATGATTGTGGCCAATGGATTTTTAAGGAGGACCAATAGCAAGACCTAAGGGAATCTATGAGGGCTGACAAGTGCATGTATTCCTCAGATTTACTAACACCGGCTTAATATCCTGGGCACCTGTTCTTTCTATACAGCAATATGTCATTTCCTGGATATTCTGTTTGTTTTCATAAAAAATATAATGAAAATTAATTATTTTAAAGAACCACTTATGTCCTAAACCAACTAGGTTATATATTAGTTCTCCATTGTTGTCTTGGAGATGTTTGTTTTCTACATCTGGATAAAAACACTACCGTGTTATTAGGAAAGTTTCATGATATAAAAAAAAAAAATAAGATTTCGGTTAAGTGTTGCCCTCTGTGCAAGGAGAATTAAAGTTAGGTGGCTGCTTACAGCTCTCCTAAGCAGGAAGCATGAAGTCAACATAAATAGACTGAGCTTATCATAGCACAGTATCCCAGTTCTGACTGACCCTCGTGAATCAGTGAGGATCCTGGCCTGTCCTTTCCCATTAGGCCATAATGCACACTCTAGTTATCTAAATATTAAGTGTACATACACAAAGCATCACCTCAAGCACATAAGAGAGGCAACCGATTGTTCTCTCATGGTATACTAGTTATTTACAGACTGACCACATGTTTATTGAGTGTTAGACTATGAGCCAGATGTTATATTACATCAGTTGTGTCTACGAAATGCCATTTAAGAAATTACCAATAGTTTCTCTGCCCTTAACAGTAGGTGTGTGAAATGAGACAATCCAAAAGTTATTACAGGAACAAGTAAAATGCTGTTGGTGTCACGATAGGTATAAGATGGCATGGGGATTAAGGGAGGAAATACATCACATTTTATTTTGATGACTAGGGAAGCCTAATATTGATTTAGTTGGGCCTTAAAGGTTGAGTAGAATTTACAGATGGAAATTTAAGGAGACATATTTTATGGAAGTAATTTGTAACTCATATATGGAGGTACTGATGAGATAGTTGAATCATCTCATGGCAAATGATGATTCATCATAGTCCCTGTTTATCTCTGGATAAAGAGAGAATGTGGCTCTGCCACAGTTTACAAAATATTCCTATACATTTGCAGAAATAATGGAATCCATTGCCTAAATTATTGATGTTTTAGGGTGGTTCTGTTAAAAAAAAAAAACAACAAAAAAAACCTTTAATACTTCAAACCAAATAGTTATCTAGAGATTTTCCAATCCAAGTCTAATCATCTCCTATATTTAGACTATTTAATTGTTCCAAATCAAGAAGGTTAGGAGAGGAACAGAAGGATAATTTGAATTTAGTCAGTTTTGTTATTTGTTAGCTCTGGTAAATGTTCTGGTGCAGAAGGTGATAGGAAATAATGATCTTCAGTAATTGTCTATGGGTAATGGTAAGTGGCAGAATGTGGCATCTGACAGCAGAATGTTGCATCTGTGGCTGTTTCTGGGACTCCAAGATTATATTTCTATATCAAAAATAGCTTTATGTGAGCTCCATGGGTTAAAGAGTCCATGCACACATCTGTGTCTTTTAATTATCCATGCTGCAACTGTCCTGCTTTACGATGAATAAATGAGAGCTATTTTTAAATCTATATTTATGTTCCCTAAACAGACTCTCCTTGAAAGAAAAAAATTTGCAGGGCTCCTGAGCATTCTGAAAGAATTTGCTTTTGTTCTCTGAGTAAAACTTTAAAGTTTCCCTGATGTTTTCAGTTTATCTTCTGGCTGTTTACAATCTGATTACAGAGTAAAAGTGTTTTCCAGGTCGCACGTGTTCTAAACCAATTGACTGAATCAGTCAATTCAATCAGTATTGACTGAATATTCAGAATCATTTACTGCTTAAGGCCAAACTGATATTCTTTACTGAGGGACATTAAGAAAATGGAGAGGTCACCCACATTTATTGATAAGAAGAGAATATTTTACAGATGCCACTTTCCTCAAATTTATCTCTTAAATTGATAAAATTATAACCTAAGTTCTAGTACGGTTACTTGTGGGATTCGATAAATTGAATTTAACATTTGTATTAAAGACCACGGTGCTAAAATTAGCCCAGACTTTTGCAAAAAAAAGGATGAGGAGGAAAACAAGGGAGAGTTTTCCTTAAAATATATAAAGACATAGTAGAAAATTATAGGTTTTTAAAAAATTTTATTGTTTATTTGTATTTGAGAGTGAGAGAGAGCGAGAGAGTCATAGCATGAGAAGCAGAGGGGCAGAGAGAGAGGGAGACAGAGAATCCAAAGCAGGCTCCAGGCTCCGAGCTGTCAGCACAGAGCCTGACACTGGGCTCGAACCCACGAACCATGAAATCACGACCTGAACCGAAGCTGGATGCTTAACCAGCTGAGCCACCCCGGCACCCCTAGTAAAACATAGTTCTTAAAAGCATGTTTTATGAGCACAGTGATAGACAGACTGACAATTGCAACAAAATAGAAAACCCAGAATCAAGTCTTGTCTGTCTGGAGTTGTGTCGGTTGACAGAGAGGATGTACCATGGTCAACTTCAGGAGTGGGATTGTTCAACAAATGAGCTTCAGGTAATAGTTTATAAGAAAGAAAAAACTCTCAACCTCCTGCCATCAAAAATCCACTCGAAATAGATTAGTAGTTTATATTTCAAAGGCAGAAATTTAAAACTTTTAGAAGAAACTATATATTTCTCAACTTGTTGTAGGGGATGGTTTCTTAAACAAGACACATAAGGGCCAACCACAAAATAAAAATAGTAAATTTTACTTTCCTAAAATTGAGAACTTTGAAAAACTGGGTGGCTCAGTATGTTGAGCACCCAACTCTTGATTTGGGTAGTGAACCCAGGATCATAGGATCCAACCTAACCCCATGTTGGGTTCTGCACTGAGCACTGAGCTTAAGATTCTCTCTCTTGCCCTCTGCCCCTCTCCCAAATTTGTGCATGTTTTTCCTCTCTAAAAAAATAAATAAATAATAACTTTTAATTATCAAAAGTCACTTCAAACAAAGTAAATTAAATCTTTTTTTCTCCTGTTTAGTTCTCATATATTAATTTAATTATTAGATCAATCACAGAACCTAGAAGGGAGGAAGGAAAACATTGTTGGTCCATTCAAGGAAAATAGGAGAATTGCCACTGACAGGGCAAAGAGTATAATTTGGAAAATGAATTGTGGAAATATTATCAAGATTCACTGAAAGATGAATAAGTGGCAACTGAGAGGAGTGTATAGAAAACTATCAGAAGCTCATGGTTTTCTCCAGTCCTACCCCCAAACCTGCGAGTGGAGAATGTACATGCTGAAGTTTCTAAGTTACAGCTTCATGAAGCTAGAGGTAGAGTGAGAGGAGAGGCACAGGGGTTCTTGGAATATTTGCCATCAACACCGACTATGGTATTTGGACAAGTGAGGAAACCAAAACCGGAGGGGCATATGGGCTGGTGAATAGGCACGGATTGAGGAAATAAAAGCTTAATGTGGACAAACAATAGGTTTAATAGTCGTAAGTAAGTCAGAAAGTACAGAAGTTGAGATCAGAAGATGGAAGTTTCAAGAGTTCTTCTGATTGTGAAGACGTGTGATGATGTGTTTCCTGTTAATGTGAGTGAAGACGGAGGATTTTGGAACTTTGGAGTTAAAAACTTACAAGTCAAGAAGGTTTGAAGAACCCCTTATGAAATCAGAGGATTATGGCTGAGACATCTTTTTATGTCACTCTAAGAGGAGCTTTAAAAATTACCTCTGAAAAGATATGAAAAAAAATTGTATTTCAGTGTCCCTTCCTTTTATTTAATATGTCTCCACTTTATTGGTTTTTAAATGTCAAAGTGGCTCATTGCCCAAACTTCAACATGGGGTTCTCATTTTGTGGAGGTAACTCATTACACTTGCAACTGCTTGGTATGTGTTTGATTTAAACACATAAATCCAGGGGCGCCTGGGTGGCTCAGTCGGTTGGGCGACCGACTTCGGCTCAGGTCACGATCTCACGGTATGTGGGTTCGAGCCCCGCGTCGGGCTCTGGGCTGATGGCTCAGAGCCTGGAGCATGCTTCCGGTTCTGTGTCTCCCTCTCTCTCTCTGCCCCTCCCCCGTTCATGCTCTGTCTCTCTCTGTCTCAAAAATAAATAAACGTTAAAAAAAAATTAAAAAAAAAATAAAATAAACACATAAATCCAGAATTAAAATGAAGATATTGGCTTAAGAAGGTGGCATTGGAAAGCAGCATGAAGAGTAAAGAGGTATGCATTTGGGGTGGAAGGAGGTTGCTTGTCTCTTATCTTGAAGGTAATTAGAGTTCCCCAAAGACAGAAAAGTCAATTC